CTAGTCCGGCCTTCACCTCCACCTGGGCCAGGCCTTTCTATGGCTACGGCTTAGGGGCCCTGGGAGGGGTCGTCGGAGGAAGCCTTCGGATCCGAGGTCCCCGTGCCTCGTCATCCCCGCTCCGCCACCTCCACAGCGTCCAACCAGATGAGGAAGAAAGTCTTCTCTCGCCTCCCGCTATTGCTTCTCACACGCTTCATCTTCACCATCCTATTCTCCAGGGACATTTTATACCCAGGAGGGACCGTCGGGCTCTCTCTCTCGAGCTTCCCCAATTGCTACAGGTCCCGGGGGCCCCACATCATCCTCCGTTGCCACATCGTTCTGTGTCCCCCGCGGCACTGCACGCTCACCAGAGGAAGAGCTTCCCCGGAGGGATGGTCATCGGTGGCGGCGGCGCCTTTGAGAGTCTGAGCGTCATCGGAGGAGTGTACCAAGACTGTAATGGCAAGACTCCTCTGGCACAGCTTCTTCACCCACCTCCGAAACACCTGCCTGAGCAGGCTAGTAGGACAAACAACCAAAGGCTGATTTCAGAAGTTTTTCCTCAGGTGAACACACGCCACAAGGGCCAGGAAGACATGGATGATGAGCTTGACTATGTAAGTGAGCCACTGAATGTTTTTTTTCAACTAATTTTGGTGTAGTTCTGCTGTGGCACAAGCTAATCGATACAGAAACCTTTACTCAACACAAGATTTCAACATTTTCTATGATATTTTACATGTGAACAACTTTATCAGCTACTGTTTAGCTAAATCTATGATTATTTATTCTTAAAAAAAGTATGTTTGAATCATCACATCTGCCTTTGTGTGTGCTAGCTTATGGGGGCCGCCATTTTTAGTACTTTTCACTCTCGCGGATCTTGATGCCTTCGCCAATAACTGCTCCTTTTGTTCACTAAGAGAAGTTGAAGTACAACACTTTTTAATCTTTGCTACACTTCCTCTGATAAACCGCTGCATGTTTTCATGTTTTCAACCACGGCGTACGCAGAATAAAAAAGTATGTTTGAATCATCACATCTGCCTTTGTATGTGCTAGCTTATGGGGGCCGCCATTTTTAGCACTTTTCACTCTCGCGGAACTTGATGCCTTAGCCAATAATTGCTCCTTTTGTTAACTAAGAGAAGTTGATGTACAACATTTTTAAATCTTTGCTACGCTTCCTCTGATAAACCGTTGCATGTTTTCATGTTTTCAGCCACGGCGTACACAGAAAGCTCTCAATGATCTGCGAGCTAATAGAGTTCAGTTGCCTACTGTATTAGTGGGCGCCCGATTACTTTATCGTCAATGTCACTTCAAGTCTGTAGCTGATAATGATTACACCCAACATGGTACCACCCTCCCTCTTTATGTTGATTAAATATTCTGCTTGATTCTTATCCCATGAGGGCAATATTAATCAGACTACCACGTTTTGACTCATGCTAGCGCATACAATGTATCACACACTTGATGTCTACCTACAGTATTTCCTCAAAGAACACGGCTGGTATTCTCATGAGTGGAATAGTCGACAAAAACGGCATTTGATGGCGGCTATTCCGGGCCGTAGTCAGCTGTGATAGGCTCCCTCCTTTTTGGAACAGAATAAGCAGTATAGAAAAATGATGGATGACATAAAACAAACGGTCTAAGTCCACAGATGGCGTTTAAACTGAACGAAGAAATACAGTTTCTGTCAGTAAACCCAGGCATTAACACTTGTGTTTTAGTACAACCATTTACACGTGCAAGAATCTCTTGCTCTCATGTGTAGGATTTCCGAGCACTTTGTGCAAACGCAGCACTTCTTAGCTATCAGGCCCCGTGAGAGCCCTATTGTTTCCATTGTAAATAATGTTGTGTACAAGAGAAATACGGTTAATTAGAAAGGACAATTTAGGCAGCGGGGAAGAGTACGATACAGATGGTAATGTCGGTGGACGCTCCGGGGTTGTTTCCATATACGTTTCAATTCTGTAAATAATTCAAACCTCGGGGGTGTCGAGCCAGCTTGCTGTATTTTTATGTTTGCGACATAAAACGTGTGACGGATTGGGCTAATAAGGTATTTTCCGTTGCAGAGCTTGTGCTTCCGCATCCAAAAGATGTTGGAGGCACACAAGCCAGATTGGTGCGAGACCAGAGAGGACTGGTCGGTGTTTCTCTTCTCTCCACAGAACAAGTAAGTCCCCATCGTCCACCGCACTTCACCTTTTACCCCCTCATGATGTCACTTCTGCAGGTTGGTTCAAATTAGCCCCAGGAAATTTCACAGCTCCCAAAATAAATGCTGCCCCCGCTCCTCGCAATTGATACACATAAGAGACTCCGCTGGAGTATCAATTGCAATTTGAAGAAACAGTCATGGGAGGGGGGGTTCTTTAATATCCTGCATCATTTTGTGGTTTCAGTAGATGCAGCTCTTTAATAAAATGCATAGAAATGTTGCCGCACGCGTTGTAAACCTGATTATTCTTTTCATTGAGTCCATTTGCTTTCCTTCCATTCCAATAGGCATGGCTGCGAGGACATTTAATTGCTTTTGGCCAGCACAAACAGTGCCACGTGCCAATTTTAGAAATGTGTGTTCAGTATATTTCAGCTCATTGTATCTCTTTTGATGCGCTCTCTGTTCTGCTTTGCCACAGCAGGCTGGGGCTGACTCGTTGTGTTGTAATCTGTTGAAGAGAAGGATTTTAATTGTATTGGAACAGGTGGAGTTATAGTAAAACAACAAGTGCATTTCCTGTTTTTCCTCATTATTTTCTCCCTTCTGGCATTTTTAACATTTTCCCGGTTTAGGTTCCGACAGATTTGCCAGTCCATCATCGCTCATAAGCTGTTTGATTACGTGGTGCTGGCCTTCATCTTTTCCAATTGCATCACAGTGGCTCTCGAAAGACCCAAGATCCTCCAGGGCAGCTTGGTAAATCGATCGAATGCATGGATGCACGTGTATGACTCAAGAGTATTTACAACAAAATCATGCGAAAAATTGGATTCTGAAATACTGTTAGCAGCCATTTCTTCCGTCGCATTGAAACCGAGCGTAGTGGAACACTTTTGTTGTCAATAGAAGGACTCGCAGTTCTCAAAGTGGGGGAAAGGACATTCTTGTTACAGTATTAATTGTGCTCATCTAGTAACATTCTTTTTTCAAACAAGTTCAGGGTGTCCCCCGCCTACACGCCCGTGAACTTTGTGAGGATGAGCGAATTAGAAAAAGAAATGAAAAATGCTTTTTTTTGTAGAAAATCCAACAAAAATGTAACGAGAACAAACTGATGAGCGCATCATTGAGGTTATTGCTTCGGACTAGTTTTACTGCAATAATTCAGACCAAATTAACTTTTATGATATAAAAGGTACCATAAGGAAAGCATAACTTGTTCTCATTGACACTGTGTGTCATTTTTTATTATTTTACTGTCAACCTCTCTTGTTTTCTGCTTGTCTCTTTCAATTCAGGAAAGGGTGTTTCTCACCATATCCAACTACATCTTTACTGCCATTTTTGTGGGCGAGATGACACTCAAGGTAACTTTTTTCTGCGTCTCCATCATACAGGCAATGCACCCACACACACACACACAACCATACCTACACGTGAGCATTGGTTAATCCTTTCTCATAAATCCCTTTTCTTTCATTTTTTTCCCCTCCCTTGTATCCTCTCTCCTTCCACCTCCCACTCTGTTTTCTCTGCGATCCTTTGGCACAAGTGGGCCATTCATTATGCACACCCACAATCAATTATTAACCAATCACGTGCCGTCAAGCGGCCGCAGACTTGTCAGCCCCCCCGGCCGAGCTGTACTTGTCTCCGTCTCCGTCTGAGACCTTGTGTGTTGAAATAACATGTGTTGGCTCGTGTGTGTAGCATTCATCTCTCTGCAGGATGCCGCTGCAGAGCTTCGCGTTAGTGTACACGATGCAGCCAAGTAAAAGGCACAACACAGCGGGCTTGATGAAGTGGTCAGCATGTTGTTCGATATTTCAGTGTGGGTTTTTTTTTTTTTTTTTTTTCTGGAGGAAGGCTTTGGGTGCAGTGCACAACAAATTGATCGTCTGCAGATACTCTCGAGTCTTGTGAATCAGAAACCGAATTTGCAACGTAGCACTTTAACCCGTTTAGGGACAGCGGTTACTGCAGCGGACAGCTTATCATGTGTTCAGGTTACAGGGGAAAAAACAAACAAAAAAAAAAAAAGTAAAAAGCTGTGTTTTGAATTGTGAAGAATTTTTGTAAGCATGCGTTCATAGGCGCCCCCCACGGGTTCCATCTTGCTCACCTTGGTTCTTGTCTCCTCTCCAGGTGGTTTCCATGGGCCTGTACATGGGGGAGCAGGCGTACTTGCGGAGCAGCTGGAACATTCTGGATGGCTTCCTAGTTTTTGTGTCTTTAATCGACATTGTCGTGTCAATGGCGGGCGGGGCGAAGATCCTGGGTGTGCTCAGAGTGCTCCGTCTACTCAGGACGTTACGTCCTCTCAGGTGCAGTAAAAGCAATGGCTTGCACATTTTCTAAATGAATGAATATGTTAAGTGTATTATTTGACACACAAAACGAATCAGTGCCGTTTCATCGCTTCTGAGGCGATCAGTAAAGTGGCAATGTTCTTCATGACATTGAAACCACATTGGGGAAAAATCCCAAATGTCTGTATTGGATTCCTTTCAATTGCAGTAGTGTGCCTAATGTTGTATATATTCCCTTGTGAGTTTGTTTTGTCCCAAAACCTCCCCGCAGGGTGATCAGCAGAGCTCCAGGTTTGAAGCTGGTGGTGGAGACCCTCATTACCTCTCTCAAACCCATCGGCAACATTGTCCTCATCTGCTGTGCTTTCTTCATCATCTTTGGTATCCTTGGCGTCCAGGTAGGGCAGTTTTTGAGACGCGCCAGCTGTAAACCGAGTAAAAGCATTTCTAAGGATCATTGCTGCTTTTCACAGAAGATGACTATTTTAATCACGGTGCGCTTCATGATCTATCTTATTCTTACCATTTTGTTTCTTTTTTATTCAAAGCCGCTAATCAGTAACCATTTTGTCGGGACTGTGCTTGATTATCTTGTTTTCACTCCTCAAAGAATTCATTTACCTTGTCTTTTGAAGAAATCGCACGTTGTTAGCCGGAGATCAGCTCATTATTTCACTTTGCCTTCTCTTCAGGCTTATTTGTTTGTGGTCTACTTTTCCAACAGCTGTTCAAAGGCAAGTTCTTCTACTGCTTGGGGCCCGATGTTAAAAACATTACCAACAAATCTGATTGTCTACAAGCCAACTACAAGTGGGTTCACCACAAGTACAACTTTGACAATTTGGGGCAGGTTAGTGCAGTTTGTTTTTTAATTGTATAAAAAAACATCGTGTCTACAGTCTACTGTACCTTTTATTCCCTCCTCAACTATTGTTCAGGCCCTGATGTCCTTGTTTGTACTGGCCTCGAAGGACGGTTGGGTCAACATCATGTATCACGGTCTGGATGCTGTCGGTGTGGACCAACAGGTAAACACTTCTAAGCAACAAGCACCGCACTAATTTTCTAGCAAGATCATATAATTAAATACGTTTGGCTGTCAAGTCATCCAAAAGACAAAATTAATGAATCACTGTTATATGAGAAAGTCTCGTGACTCCCGTTCTCCCTTCTCTCCTTTTCCACGCCAACAAACCGAACGCGTGGAATGGCTCTCTTGAACAAAACGACCAAAGCCGATGACCAACAACAACCCCTGGATGCTGCTCTATTTCATCTCCTTCCTCCTCATCGTCAGCTTCTTCGTCCTCAACATGTTTGTTGGCGTGGTGGTGGAGAACTTTCACAAGTGCCGCCAGCACCAGGAGGTGGAGGAGGCCAAGAGGCGCGAGGAGAAACGCCAGCGGCGGATGGAAAAAAAGAGGAGAAGTAAGACAGGGAGGGCGAGAACAATGGCGGGACGGGCGTCATTTGATTTAAAGCCTGACGAGAACAGCATGGTTTTTGGTGCCCTTCGTCCGCATGATTAAGCCGAAAACTGAAAATGATTCAAACGGCTCTTCAGGGGACATCTAATTCGGTGTGGCGGAAAATGGTGTAACGTGTTTAACATCTTTTGATAAATTGCCACCAACAGAAGCCCAAAAGCTCCCCTACTATGCCAGCTACAGCAACGTGCGCCTGATGATCCACACGCTGTGCACAAACCACTACCTGGACCTCATCATCACCTTCATCATCTGCATCAACGTCATCACAATGTCCCTCGAGCACTACAATCAACCTCACGTAAGACATTTATGGATGAGAGGGTGGTCTAGCGCTGATGTCTTCATTTGGCGCTCGCTTCCCCTTTGGTCCTTTTTTTTTTTTTTCCTTTTGCAAAACGCTGGCAATTTTACAAGCTTGTTCTCAAGGGGAAGACATTTGATGGTGTTATTTTCTAAACAAATGTTAATTCATGCCACTGCAGCGGCGTCTCGACAAATCTGCAGGGAGGCGCATGTCGGTAGCCTCAAATGATTGTTTTGGGATGACATTTGAATTTCTAAGTCGAGCTGCATCACTAATATAACTGCAATAACGATGCTTCCCTTTACACGCAGTGGTTGAATGTGTATGTTTGCATTTTAATAGATGATGCTGGCTGCCTTTTACTCTCCAAACATTGATTCCAGAACAGTACCCCCACCCCGCTTGATGCAGCTGAGACTCCTCCAGCCGAGCTGCGCACAGACACACACTCACACTCGCGCTTCTCGACTGTTTTTTCCCCAGTCTCTAGATCTCGCCCTCAAGTACTGCAATTATTTCTTCACGTCCACTTTTGTGCTGGAATCCATTCTCAAGCTCATCGCCTTCGGCTTCCGTCGCTTCTTCAAAGACAGGTGCGGTGCGAATTTGTTCCCCATTGTGCCATTTATGGTGCGCATGGGCTAATCTGTATGAAAGTGATTTTGTTCATTTGCATAATCATCTAGAGATTTCCGCTTCCGCTGACTTTACTGGACAAGAAAACCTTTTTTGTCCGAGCTAAAGTTGAATGTAACACCATTATGTAATATCCACTCAATGTATGTCGGATGATGATCCATTTCATTCGATGATATCAAGGAAGGCCAAGTTTTCAACACAAAAGGAAATAATAGAAGTGAGCGTATTTCGACTGAGAATTTACGATGGAGGTTTTCAGAAGAAATAATATTTTTTGTCAAAGTGCAATTTTGGAAATTGGCCAGACCACAGCCAGCTATCATGTCACCCAGGCCGAAAGGAGCTTGAACGGGTCACAAATAGAGCAGCTCTTGATGGCTGGCAAAGGCTACGAGATGGCAAACCGACTACTGTAAAAATTCACATCGCTCAGGTCAAGAAGTGAGTTGAGGTTTAATTACCACAGATTTAAAAGTAGCCCATAAACGGCCCATAAAACCGCTTCTCCCAACCAATAACAAGCACTGATTAGAAAGTAGCACTCGAACACATAGCAGAGACTAAAACTAGCGGGAATACTGTACCTAGCTTAACGCTCATCACGAAGTAACTTGAACACCCCATAAAATCTACAGTCAATCATCCACTGGCAGCAGACCAGAAATCAGCCTTTAAACGCACCGCAAAGACCATAGCCAGCCATCAACTAGTACAGACTAAAGTAGTGCGAGAATGTAACATTCAAACACATCCTAAGATGCGCGCCTGATCAGGTAGCACAGGGAACACCAAATTGACCACATACTGTCCGTGCAAAAACATATTTGCGCTTCTGTCAGGTGGAACCAACTCGACCTTGCCATTGTGCTTCTGTCTGTGATGGGCATCACACTGGAAGAGATCGAGATCAGCGCTGCGCTGCCCATCAACCCCACCATCATCAGGATCATGAGAGTACTGAGGATCGCGCGAGGTACGCGTTGCGTTTGAGATACTCTTGAACGCGCGAGATTTCATCAATGTATAACATGCGGCAAGTTTACAGTTGACGGAGGCGTCATGAATGCCCTCACTGAATGCGTTTCCCTTCCACGCATTCGCACAGTCCTGAAGCTGCTGAAGATGGCGACAGGAATGAGAGCCCTGTTGGATACGGTGGTCCAAGCCCTGCCTCAGGTACAGTGCACACACGCGATTGTTCACGCAAACATTCCATGTCAGTGTCAGCGGCCCACTCTCAAAGAATTCCCAGGATGGTTTCCCACACTCTCTTTTCTCTCTTGTCAGCCAGCAACTTTTAATAGATGACTCACTCATGTCTCACACTCATCTTGTGTCACATCGTGTGCACTGAAAACACCGGGGGCTGCCCAAACCTAGTCTGGTGTGCCAAAATGCCCGACGCCCTTGACTCAAGTCCCCTGACCATTCCCAGGAGACCTGTTTAGTCAGCACGCAGGCAAAGTAGAAGACAGCAGAGTCAATATTCTGCCATGTTATCAACATTTGAATATTCTTTACCTGGGGGGAACATTTGGATTTGAGACAATCTCTGTTGTATCAACAAAGGTCTTTCAAGGGATTGAATCGATGGGCCAAACGGGCTTTTTCGTGCCAAACTCATCCAATTACACTCTTTTGGCCGTCGCACCGTGGACTCGGGCACAGTCGTGCTTGAAAAGGCAAGCGTATTTCCCATAGTGCTCCCACTTAACTGTCGTAGTAAAATTATGACTCAGGAACGTCTGCATGATGGATGAGTTGATCAAGAAGTGTTTCCCAAGGCTTTTGTTGAGAAAGAGCGCATCCTGTCAGTTACGAAGGTCAACAGACGCACTCCTCTGGTGCAGATGCTCCTTTGTGGGCAAGCAAACATACAATTTGATCTGCTCGCCATCCAAAAGTTAAACACGAAGTAAACACAAGAAATGCGGGGCTTCAATTGAGGAGGTTGTAGTAGAAGTAAATAGTACTAGTAGTATGAAAGGCTGATGTACTGCAGAAAAAACATATGACTTTTTTTCAAATGTCCTCAATGTTCAATGTTCGGATTTCTTGGATGTAGTATTTCAAATGTTCTGTAAAGCCCTTTGTTACAGCTGCTGCGGTTGCGAAAACACTCTAAATAAAGCTGTATTTTATTCCCTTTAGCGTAGCTCCATCTGGTGGATGCATAACGTAACTGCAGCCACTATTGTTGCTTCTATTCAACGCGCCTGCTAATGTGGTGCGCCCTATATATGAAAGTGTGAAAAATACGGCAATTTTAAAATCCATCCTTGATATCAAAACAGCTTATGTAAAATACTGCTAAAGTATTCCCACATCTCGGGGAGAGTAGTTCCATAAAAAGCTTTGTCATGTTTGTTCCAGGTGGGTAACCTGGGTCTGCTCTTCATGCTACTGTTTTTCATCTACGCCGCCTTAGGAGTAGAGCTTTTCGGAGAACTTGGTGAGTAAACTTATTGTCAAAACTCACGCAAAACGTCTTTGGCGTTCGAAGCAGGGTAGTGTAGGGTCATGTTCGGTTTTTAATTAACAGCACTTTACATTTTGTCGTTGGTCAAAAAAGGATGTGTCTTGATTCAATTTTGAGGTTTTGACAGCTCCCCCTCCCCCTTCATAAAATCAGTCAGTTATTTATCAGACAGGCGACACTTTAATTTTGTCCACCCTTATCAATGGAGAATGCAATCAGGTTTGTTGACTGACTCGAATTTGGCCAATATACCAAAACGGGACATAAAAGTTTCTGCTGCGGTTCACTAAAAGTGAATTATTCTTTGCTTTGCCACATCTAAACGGAAAACGTCTTTCCTTTACCTAATTGCTCCAGATAAAGTACGGCTCCAGTGTTTTTTCGCGCGGGCGTCAAAGCGAATCCAGCTGGTGCTCACTGAATCACATTAAAAGCAACATATTTTCTCTCCGTCCTTAAATTCTTTTCATTAGTTCTCTCACAGTTAGCCAACGGGGAATCAAGACACTCTCCTCCAGTCCTCTGAAACAAGTACTGTCCTTAAATGCCACGCCGCTCTTCATCTTGTTAAATTCTTGCAGTGCTGGAGAAATGTCTCTTACTTGAGGTCATGCTTAAGACTATTTTGGGATTCGAGCTCAGGGACAAATAGGGCAACAGGTTTCGTTGCTATTAATCAAACAACTGACTTCAAGGCAGCTGACCAGCTGTGATGTTGCAGTTTTTTAAAGGGGGGCGGGGTTGTCTTACGAAGAACGGCGTGCTGGATTTCGAAAGAAATGACCCCTTTGTGACATCAAGCTGTGTTTTCCCCCCTTTTCATCATTCCTTCTGCTTTCCGCTTGACTCCCCCCCCCCCTTCTGATCCTTAGTTTGCAATCAAGACTACCCGTGCGAGGGCATGAGTCGTCACGCTACCTTTGAGAACTTTGGCATGGCCTTCCTGACTTTGTTTCAAGTCTCGACGGGCGACAACTGGAATGGCATCATGAAGGTGCGTTCCATTTTTCCGCACGCTCTCTTCTTCCACAGCAGATGGACCGTGCCACTTCCGAATGACTTAGTGTCCGAAAGGATTTCACTCACCTCGTTCAGCCGAGCGCCGACAAGATGCCCCGAGAGAGACCAAACTATCCTTTTTCTTAATCAGGACTTCCGATAGCGGAGAAATATGCTGGCTCGGCGACCGGCGACACAAATTTCCGCACCGATGGGTAGGGAAGTGACTGTGGCTCATTGCACGCGCACACGACAACACTAATTACCCTTGAACGCTCACCTCCTGTAGCTACCCTCCCTCCCGATGCACTCCGAGGCTACGCGGAGGAGGAGACATTATTTTATGAAGGTGCAGCAAGTGTGGATGATGTTTGGCCACCGACCTTTCCTCCCTTTTGATATAAATCTCCAAACACAATGAGGAGAAAAGAGCATTGTGGAAACTACAGGAAGTGGCCGTTGATTCTAACATGAGAATCACTTCCTGTAGTTTGGTGAGTGAAACCAATTCTAAAGGTCAAAGTATCACAACACAGTAAAATATGTCATATCTTTGTTGTTATAAGTGTTGAGGGACCCAAAAATATGTTTCATTTACCACGCATTTTATTAATAATCCGCCGATTAATCGGTGATCAGCATTTTATTCTGCCGAGTATCGGATTCGCCTCAAAAATTCCTCCAAAATTGTTGTACACGTACAGATTGTTCTGTTCTCTAAAAATATATTCCCAAACAATGTTTGTCCACCGATCTGCATCCTCCTCTCCATCTTCTGTGTTCAGGACACATTGCGGGAGTGCCCACCAGATCACGCCACTGATGTGGATTACGCCTGCAATCCCAGCCTTCAGTTTATCTCGCCCATGTACTTTGTCTCCTTCGTGCTCACCGCCCAGTTCGTGCTCATCAATGTGGTGGTGGCCGTGCTGATGAAGCACCTGGACGACTCCAACAAGGAGGCCCAAGAGGAGGCGGAGATGGATGCAGAAATTGAGCTGGAGCTGGCCCAGGGCACCCTCTGTTGCATGGGCGCCCCCGGCTGCGGGAGTGCAGGGGCGGAGAAAGGCGCGGTCGCCGCCGCGTCGGCCCCCGGTGCCGACGGCTGCAGGAAGGAAGGAGCGGGAGGGAGGACGCGCACGTCAGCCGGCGCGCACGCCGTGCCGTACAACGCCGCTGACGCCAACCGGCCACTGTACTCGCCGGCGCACGAGGTGAGTGTCTTTCTGCGTGTGCGGCTACGTGCGTCTGTTTGAGAGCGTTTTTTTGCCTTTTCGGATGTTCAGTCAATCTGTAAAATCAATATATACGTAAATGAAGATCGATCGATTTAATCGAGCAACTATTAATACAGATCTTTGAGTTGCTCTGTTTATTTGAAGATTCATGAGTAAGGGTCACTCGTCCTTTCAAATGTTGGGGTGAGCCAATTTTCCCCTGATAGGATTTATTACAATCCACAAAGACACATCATTATTTTATGGAGCAGTACGATGGCCTTATAACTCATCACTGGCTTTATAACGTTGACGTCGGAAAGTCCTGATGTAAAAGACAAAAAGAGCAAGAAGATTTACACCCAAAATAAAATCAAGACATCCCTGCTTGTGTATTCTCAGTGCATCCCCTCAAATGTATCAGCGCGTCAGTTTATACTGAGGGAAGGAAAAAAAAACAAAATTGTGAATTGTGATTTGATTGATACCGACCAAAAATACTTTTTTTTTTTTTTTTTTTAATCAAATTGACAGCCATTTTTTATGGTTGTGCTCACTTTTACACAATTCCCTTTTTTTTTTTTTTACCCCTCTTGTATCCTAAATGTTAATTTTATTGAAGCTTTCGGGGCTTGTCGTTGACATCTTCAGCCAGGATATGCTTTGGGGACCTTGCCTTACGGATATACATTGACAAATATATCTTGTACATGAATAGAAGTTTCACCGCCATCATCGCCTTCCTGTCTATCAGTATCAAGTTGGAGACCGAGTTGCCGGAGGTCACACAAGTCAGACGTGCATTGCATGAATCGGGGCCCTGATTAGCCGCTCGGTTCTCGCGATGGAAAGAGAAGCTCGAAATAACCTCTCGGCATCACCGTGACAAGACGGCGGAATGCCCAAGCGGTGACAATCACTTGGCTAGACACGGGCCGCGTACCTCGTTGGACCCGCCCCCTCATTTTCACAACGTGCAGTCTGATGCATTTCATTCATTTCGGGAGTTGCTCATGATAGCGCACGTTAGGATGACTCACTGGCTGCCTTTCACCTTCACTTCGCAGCTCGACGCGCAGACGCACTGAGCCATTTTTAGCACGCCGTTGGCTGATCGAGGAACATATTGCCGACCGGGGAGAACACGCATCTCGCCTCGCGGTCTCTCTCGAGCGATTTGCATGAAGGGATCTGTAATTTATTCAGTCCCATCCCAGGGTTTAGTGTGTTTTTCGATACGAGTGTGTGTGTTTAGTGAAGTAAGCGAGCAAGCGGGCACGTCTTACAGTGCTGCAAAATTCACATCTTGGAGAGTGAAAATATTGAAGAACAAATGCAAAGCGGCTGAGCGTCAATTTTGCATCCATAAGGAGATTGAAGATAAGATGAAAGTGATCGCGGGACCTCAAGGTTGCTGGTCAGCCTGCATTTCAAAAATCTATTCACAAAGAACATTTAAATGGTGTGATTTTTTATTTTTTATTTTTTGCGGTATGCAGTAGAAAATATAAACGATGAGAAAAATACATCTAAAATCAAAATCAAATTGACCTGTTTCACAAGGGTCGAAGTAAATGTGCTTCAATTCCGATGAAACTGCAATGATGTCACTTCTAATCTCTTCGGAGGCAGCCATTCTTTTCAAACCGTCGCTCGTTTTTTGTTTTTTTTGTTTTTTTTTTTCACGACATCCAAACCGCATCTTAAAACGCCACCTACATCTCCTCCGAGCGATCAGATCGGGTCGCTCATCCGCGGTGGCATCAGTTTAGACTCGAGCAAGATGTACAGTATTTGCGAGATGGCATACCCCGCCATTCCATCAATCCAACTTCTTTCCAAGATGAACTTGATAGATTTTGATCCGATTTGGTGCTTTGCTTAGTTTCTTCTCTCCTGCGCTCGGTTACGCCGCAAAGTTTTGGCAGCAATGAAACACGAATGATAGATAGCGGGTAAAAAGAAGCCAGTCCTGAGTTACGCACATGGTGAGGAAGGGTCAAGGGAAGAGGAGAGCGGAGATAAGAGCTCAGCCGGTGACAGTCAGATAGAGGTTGTAATTAATTTCAGCGCTCTCTCTCACTCACTCTCTCTCTCTCAAGTTCAACTCCCAGCAGACGGGGCCCTATTGTTGTCGAGTAATACAGTCATTAATAGAGGCCAGCGCATAGGCCACTGCAGTCAATCAAACTCGAGCTCCCCTCTCGAGCCACCTACGCAGAACGGACTCTCTCTCGCAAATGTCTGCGTGATGTGGGTGAGGGCATGTGCGAGATCGTGCGGGGCAAGAGGAGGCACGGTAGCGTCGTTGAAGGTGCTAACGTTGTTGGGATTGGATAATTGATAGGAGGGCTAAGTGAAAAGAACAAGGGAGTCGTAAAATTAATAGGAATTGGGAGGAGGTGATAATCATCAGATCCAAATATTATGACGAGATCACATTTTTCACCCCCCCCCAAGGAAAAGTTGTATCACAACAACTGTGTAATGTTTTTTTTTTAAATGAAATATAAAACTGCTTCTGCAAATGTTCGAACATTCTGTTCAGTGTTGTCTCAACGCTCCTTTGTGCGTAAAAATGAGATGACCCACGGGTTGATTTCAATCGTGGTGTGAGTCACACACACGACTTTTGCACAGCATGTTCCAAAATGAAAATATGCGTGTGCATGAATTAGTGAACGAAAGCAACAATCGCCCTTTTCGCCTGGATAGCAATAAAAAAGCCAGTAAATGACTCAGTCTGTATGACGAATGATCAATTTTCTGTCTTTTGTAGCAATAATTAGATCTGAATACAACTTAGAGGGCTTTAAATCCAAGCAATGTCCAAAGAAAATATCAGAAAAGAAAAAGAGCCCACACTTCCGGAATGAATGATGCTTGAAGTGGTGAAGTGAACTTATAACTTCAAACTAAATGTGGCAAATTTAGTTTGAGGTCATTTATTTTGTTTTCCTCGGTTGAACTAGTCTAGTTCCTGGTGGGGAAACCCACTCTGAATCTATAATTGCTTTAAATCTACTATGGCCCGGGGTGCAATCATTTGGTCGAAGCTCAAACGGTTACATGAAGGTATCGCGCAAATTAAATGAGATGATATATCAGATGTAATTGCACCGTTCTCCACGCTCTGGCCATTCAGGGGGAAAAAAAAAAGATGTTACCTGGCTAATGAGGGTTTATACTGCTCCAGTTGCCGAATTCGTTTTATCCAAAGGGAAAACCGGCGACATCGGTATGGAAGGTTTGGGTTGGATTATCTGTGTGCTGAAAAGTCTCATTTATTCCTTCTGGAGAAATGATAAAAATAAAATAGAGGCACGCTCTATGATGGTGACTTTGTATCTTTACATGCACAGAAGCATATTTGGGACCCTGACAGCTGTCTTTGCATTTCCCTGCGTGTTTTTTTGTCCTCGCATGTTGGCATGTGCACACCTTCGTGCCTGCGTGCAAATCTGGTCTGCTGGCCCGCGTCCTGTGCGTGTGTGTCCCCGTGTGCGTACGCATGTGTGTGTGTGTGTGTGTGTGTGTGTGTGTGTGTGTGTGTG